TTTCTGTTTTTTTTTTTGTTTTTCTTCATCTTTTGATTCTTTTGTTTGAAAAGTTACAGTTTCTTGCCTTTGTTTCTGGGTTATATATTTTATATGTATTCATTCTCTTCTTGTCTTTATAAGTAATTCATCAGTTGTTTTGTAACCAACAATATTGTGGCCCTAATTTAACTAATTCTGGTCAGGTGTTCATGTATTCTCCATGAAAAATGGCTGATGAGGAGCGTCTAGATATAAGAGTATAAGAGAAGATGGAAATATACAAGAAGAAAGAAAACGAATCTGGAGTGAAGAATTTTCATGGCTTGTTTTACAATCTTTTCTTTCTTTCAATTCACTTTTTTTTTTAATTTAGATTTCTTTGTAAATCTTTTTAATGTTGTTTTCTCCTTTATATTTGTATTTTCAATATAAAAGTTATGAATACAAAAAAAATCTGACATAAAATTTATTGATTTAATTGATGTTATAAATTTAAAAGTAGCAATAGTATTTTAAATTAAAATTAATAATTATTAAGTTACTTTTAAAATCAAAATAAGTGTTATCTTATTTATTAATAAATAAATCATTGATATAGATTTTATTTTATTTATTAATAAATAAATCATTGATATCAATTTTATTTTACTTATTAATAAATAAATAATTGAAGTCATTTATTTTTAACTGATACTAACACTAACATCATTTTAAAAATTGATATTAATTATACCTCACCTAATAGTAAATGATGTAAATAATTACAATCAATTTATTAAATTGACACTAATACAAACATAATTTAGAACAAATGATGTAAATGATAACATCATTTAAAATAATTGATGAAAATATTTGTTATTGTTACATCACTTTTGAACAAAATGATACAAATTATTTGCATCACCAAAAAGTAAGTCATTTCTTTAAGTGATGTAAAAAATTTTTACATCATTTATAAGTAATCTAAATATATAAAATAAATTATTTAAACTAATCTTTTTTTGTAGTGGTTGAAGTGAATCGAAGCTTGAAAATGAGTTGAAGAAGAGAAGAAGTTTGCGAAGGTGATTCGGATACTTCGAACATCAAATCAACCATAGTTCAGTTTCAGATTAATGATTCAAAGATGGAATCAACATGAAACGATGAGAAATCGATGAGAAAATGATGAATTCTGAGCTCAATCGTACGAATTTTCACAGAAAAGGTCTGATACCATTTTAGTGTTTTAATGTAAACCCAAATTTTTTCATTAATGATCAAATGTATCAGTTACAATGTATATGTAACAAACCCCATCTAAACTAGAAATAACTAACATGGTTTACATCAGAATTAAAGAATAAACTAGACATTACTGAACCCTTATACTATTATCTATAAGTATGAATCTAAATAGACTAAAAAATGATAAAACCATGTTAAATATTATTGATTGCTATCAAGGCGGACCCACAAAACAAATCACCAAAACACCCGATTAGAATATAAGATCTAAAAGGGAATATTTTAGTGATACCAGCGTCTTGAGATGTTTTCCCAACAACCACTTAAGCAAAATCTGCCTCACTATGTCATGATTTACCTATTGAACAGCTAGATGAAGCTTTAGTTGCCAGAGAATTGATGATGATTATTTTCTTCAGCGACATAGAAAAAACAGTTGAGATTGAATTTTATGAATAGAAAAATGCTATTTTATTTTATTTTAAATTCTCAAATCCTAAGAAATTTAGAAATAGTTGAAAACTTAATCGTCAGCGCAGGGGCGAAACACCTTCTAATACCAAAATGTAACACCGGTTTTATCTTCTTTCGAGAAATTCATGCCAATTACTCTTAACATTTATATCACATGAATCACCACATCATTCTAAACCCAAAGAAAAACTACCTGATAGTCTCAATCCATCCAAATATCACCCACTCGTCACTATCACCTAACTGAGATTATGATTAGGAAAGATATACTGAACCCACAAATATGAGTAGATTTGGGCCAAGACCATTGAAACATTAGCCTTGGTCCCCATTTTTATAGGCCGTTGCTTTTTTTTTCCCACGTTTAAGCTTCTTCTTCTACATATCAATTTCCACATTTTGATCTAGCCACAAACATTTGCCATAACTTGCAAACACAAAAACACTCGGTAAAGATTGATTACTATTATATCAAAATCACAATCTGGCCACAAACCGATAACCATGATAGGTAAAAATATGATTATTATAATTTGTATCAGAACTGAATATGGTAAAAATGAATGTTTATTTTGTTTTTTCCTGCATGAACTTTTAGGAATTTCAACAAGAAAAACAGAGTGTAAAACAGGAGCCTAAAAAGAAAGAGAAAAAAAAAGAAAGAGAAGCTTCTTGTCAATTCTATGTTAAGGTATGTTAAAAAATCAAAAAACTGGTGAATGTAGTGGAACTGGTGATGAAAATTCTACTGATTTAGTGGATGATAAGGTAGAGATAATTGTTGATGAATCTGAGAAAGAGGAAAAAATGAGTAAAGAAGATGATGTAAATGGTGAAGAGCAAGAGAGGATTTTGGATAAAACTGATCCTGCTAGCTGGAAAATAGTGGATCAGAGTTTGATAAACTTTCTTGTGAAAATAGATCATGTGGAAAGAGTACATGAGAGCAATAAGTTTCCAAAGAATGGTCATGGTAGACATTTTTTTATAAGTATTACAAAAGAGAGATGAAAAATGGAGATAAGCAAGATCGGAATTGGTTAGTTTATTTAAAAGCATCAAAAAGGCATATTAGTTTTGCTGAAAGTTGTTTGGCCGAGATTGAGATGTCAGTCAGTTGTCCAACAAGGGGTTTAATGATTGGAAGAATATCAGAATAATATTGAGCCAACATGAAACTAGCCATTGTCATATTGTGTGCATGAATAAAATGGATAAAGTTAGAACTGGGGATAAGCAATAAGCAGACCAATGATAAGTGTCTCCAAGAAGAAATCAACAAAGAAAGAAACCATTGGAGAGAGATTTTGTTGAGACTATTTTCATTGGTAACAAGTCTCGCTAAACAAAATTTAGCATTTTGTGGGGCTAATGAGAAACTTGGTCAAAGAAACAATGGAAATTTTCTGAGTTTTGTTGAATCATATGGAGGGTTTGATTCAGTCACGCGAAAGCATGTCAGACGAGTTAAGGAAGGTGAGATTCACTATCATTATTTAAGCCACACGATTCAAGATGAGTTGATTGTTATGCTAGCGTCCGTGGTTAAACTTATGATCATAAAAAAAAAGTTAAGAGGCAAAGTATTTTTCTGTTATTCTCGACTGCACACTAGATAAAAGTCATAAGGAATAAATGAGTCTTATTATCAGATGTGTGGATATTTGTACGGCTAAAACAAAAGTTGAAGAATCATTTGTGACTTTTTTTAAAAGTTGCAAAGAAATCTGGAGAAGGGCTTTTGGAATTGTTGTGTGATAAATTGGCTAATCTTAATTTGAGTATTGAGGATGTGAGAGAGCAAGGCTATGACAACGGATTTAATATGAAGGGTAAACGCAAGAGGGTGCAAACACGATTACTAGATATAAATTCAAGAGCATTTTATACTCCTTATTGTTGTCATAGTCTTAATTTGGCACATTCTAATATGACTAAATCTTCTAAAAAAGTTGTTACTTTCTTTGGAATCATTTAGCGGTTATATTGTGTGTTTTCATCATCTACAAATAGATGAGGGCTATTTAAGGAGACAGTAGGAGGTCTCACAATTAAGCCATTATCAGAAACTTGTTGGGAAAGTCGCGTTGAAAGTGTTCGAGCAATTATATTTCAGACTTCAAAAATAAAAGATGCATTGGATTTTTTGGCAGAAAATTGTGATGATCCTGGAAAACAATGTGATGCTGAAGCTCTTGTTACAAGTGAAACTCATGGAATCGGAAATTTTGAGTTTTTATTTGGTATGGTTGTTTGTATGATTTTCTATTATCGTTAACACGGTAAGTAAGGCGCTACAATCAGAGTATATGGATACTGATAATGCTATTGCTCAGTTGAAAGTGTTGGTTTCTTATTTGAAAAATTACAGAGAAACTGGATTTGAAATAGCAAGAGCAGAAGCTAAGACCATTGCAAAGTCTATAGATATTAAGTCAGATTTTTGTGGAAAAAGTGCATTATAAAAAAAAAAGCATTTTGATGAAGAGATGGAAACTGATGATGACTTCGAGAATTTAAGTGAGGAAGAGAAGTTTAAAATCGGTTTTTTTCTTCTAAGAATCGTTGATCAAACTATAACATCTTTTCAAGCGAGATTTGAATAATTTGAAGAATATGAGAAAATGCTTGGATTTCTGTTTGATCTAAAGAAGCTGAGGGCAGCAACAGATGATTCGTTAACTTCTCTTAACGCATCATGTATCAACCTTGAAACTTCTCTTAAACATGGTGAGTTATCAGACATTGATGGAAATCATTTATTCATGGAAATGAGAGTTTTGAGAGGAGTTTTACCAAACAAAATCAAAAAGGCCATTGAAGTGTTAGACTTTTTAAAAAGGTCGGAAAGATGTTATCTGAAAACTTAATTTGCATGTAGAGTCATGCTAACAGTTCCAGTGTTATCGACTGAAAGAGACATGATTGAAAAACTTGATTATCAAATTTTGATGAATGAGTTTACATAAAAAACAGTAAAAAAAAAAGTGTATCTTTTAGAAGCCATAATTTATTATTAGTTTTTGGAAACTTATGTAATATTAGTTAGTATTTAATTTTTTTATATTTACTAGACTTTATTTTATTTAAATTTATGTTATGAAATATTAGTCTCCATTTTTTGATTTGTTTCAAGCCCCCGGATTCTCAACACCAGTACTGCCCACAAATGCCCATAAACTAAACATCGTGATTAGGAAAGACGTACTGAACCAGATTGATTACCAAAAGTCATCGCTAAGTAATTGAACCGGTAATCTTAACCGGAGTAGTTGGTTAGTGAAGGAATTCAGCACTGTACCAAGCAACAAACAGTCGTCTTCAACCCTGAGAGAGAGAGGGAAGTGTGAATCATCTCGGATCGTCTCCGCCCTTGCCTATCCCAAAAGTGTCTCCGAAATTGTGTGATTATCCCTTCCTATTTTCTCTTATTGATTTCATCAGGGCTTAGGGTTTCTTAGATTATAATCGCTATGCTCTTGATTTTGAAGCTAACTCAGGGTTAATTATTTGATTAGGGTTTTTCGAATTCGTTACAAAAATTGATTGGTTGATGCTAGAGATTACAGTTTTTGTCGGTATAGTGAAATATAACATTAAAAGGATCTAACTTTGGTATTGGGTATTTCAGAGTAGAGAATGAGAATCGTGGGGCTAACGGGAGGCATAGCGTCTGGGAAGAGTACAGTCTCCAACCTCTTCAAAGCTAATGGCATTCCCGTTGTTGACGCTGATGTCGTTGCTCGAGTAAACATCCTTCCCTCTCTTTTCTATTTCCTAGAGATCTCAAGAAGATATAACCTAAGCTATTTTTTTCTTCTTGTGTAGAATGTATTGAAGAAAGGAAGTGGTGGATGGAAAAGAGTAGTTGCAGCTTTTGGGGAGGAGATTCTTCTTCCTAGTAGAGAAGTGGATCGCCCAAAACTCGGTCAGATGGTCTTCTCTTCTGATTCCAAGCGCCAACTTCTAAACAAGTAAGGATTTGACAACTCCTTTTTTGTGTATTTGGGATGAGATCCTGAAGTTGTCTCTTACACTCTGTAGGCTGATGGCTCCGTACATATCTTCTGGTATCTTTTGGGAGATTCTGAAACAATGGGCAAAAGGAGCTAAAGTGATAGTTGTTGATATCCCTTTGTTGTTCGAAGTAAAGATGGATAAATGGACTAAACCCATTGTCGTTGTGTGGGTCAGTCAAGAAATACAGCTCAAGAGATTGATGGAGAGAGATGGGCTGAGTGAGGAAGATGCCAGAAACAGAGTGATGGCTCAGATGTCTTTGGATTTAAAAAGGAGCAAAGCTGATGTTGTGATCGAGAATAATGGCGGTCTCGATGACCTCAAGCAACAGTTTGATAAGGTATTGTCTGAAATCAGAAGACCATTGACATGGACTGAGTTTTGGCGTTCAAGGCAAGGAGCCTTCTCGGTTCTTGGTTTGCTGACTTCAGGACTCGTTGTTTGCAAACAGTTCAATATGGGCTCTTAACATTTGCTTATAATATTAGTTGGTTTGGCTACACATAGAGTGGAAGTAATCTTTCAAAGGAAACATGTACGCTCCAGACTTTAAAGGTTCTATTTCAAAATAAAATTAAACCCTACAAAATTTAAATATATTTATAGACTTTCTCATAGGGTTCTGTAACATTTACATATGCCATATTCCATAATGATAATAGATTTATCTTCTTATATCTTTGAACCTATTGCCTTATTACACCTTTAATTTTTATTAATACGAAATTAACTCTCTAACACTAATAGTTATATAGTTTATGTTTCTATATTTTAAATATTAATTTTTTATAAATAAATTTATGTCATTTTTACTTTTATTATTTCTACAAGTAAAAATAATAGATTATCATATAGATTAATTATTTATTTATATTTTAAGAATTAGTTGTTTAATAATTAAGTCATACATAAAAGAAGCATTTTCGTTTTCCCCTTTTAATAAGTAAAGCAAAATTAATATTAGTTATAATATTAATTTTTTAGTAATAAAATATAGACTATTCATAACTTCGATTATAGAATTAGGTGGTTAGAATTATGGTTATTAGACCTAAACATTGTAGTCTCGACTCTAAAGATCAACAAATCAATATTTTTAACCCTTAACTCTTATATTTACTATTTACTTCTTATTTCCGTTAGTATCACGAAGAATCCCCATTTAATTATATCCTAAGAGTTAAGTATTAGAAGGTAAGAGTAACCAAGATTATATGACGATGACAGAAAGTGAGCACATTAAATAATCTTAGCCACTCCATTCAAAGGCAAATTACGAGCCCATCTTATATCCATGCAGAGGCAAATAACCAAGTTTGGGAAAGCAAAACTTCTATAGATAATGTCTTAATCATCCCACAGATCTAAACTTTGAAAGAGAAAATTGAAAAATACTCTAAGCAGTTGAAGCAGAGCGTTCAGAAGTTCTTTGAGAGGAGAGCTTAGCCCTCAAGACCGCCATGCAATCCTTAAAGACTCTGGTTGAGGGAGATAGCACGCTCGACGGGCTCCACCACTAAATGGAAAACCGACACAAATGGCCAATATCACATATGCAAACTGAGTAAACACGGTTAACGCAAACAACTCAGACATGTACTGTGGCACGGAGATACATGAGCAGTCACCATGACGAAATCGAAAAATACGATTTACCTGGAGGAAATCTTCACTAAGAAATCCGATCAGTTATAGAGAGATTTCCTGGTGTCACTCCTCCTATCAGGGTAAGAGCTCATAAATTCTATATGGATACTCCCTTTCAGACGAGATCTCCCAAATAAAGAAGCCAAAAAATTCTCTTTCCAAACATGATAATGTACGATGGAATCAATGATCCAGATAATCATGTGTCTCAGTACAAACAATGAATGCTTACTTAGGTATCTAGAAAGAAATCTGAGAAGCCACTATGTACAAGTTTTTGACTCGATTTTGACCAAACCCGCTCTGTAGTGGTACATCAATCTGGCTAACGGGTCGATACATTCCTTCGCAGGTCCAATTAACCAACTCGTAAAACATTTTCACAAGCAGCAAGAACCTAAAAAGACGGTCGACAATCTTTACAATATCTTACAAAACTAATTTGAACCACTATGTAGCTACATAGCACGACTCTACTAAGAAAATATATTCATCCCCATATGTAACACCTCTACAACCATCTTTAACTTCAAGAGAGGCATGTTGCCTGATGGAGATCTGTATAAGGAACTGACAAAGTACCAGTGCAAAACCATGGATTACGTACTGTCTCAGGCCTTGATGCAGGTAAGTGGGAAAAAGATTCATCATATCATTCCAAACATTTCCAAAAGAAGGAATCCCAAGTCACAAGGGATGATAAAAGCGGTAAAGATTATAAACCATTAGAAACCTGGAAAAGTCATGAAGCAGGAATCATGGTAGATACCATAATCGACCTATAGAAAAGCTGAAGGAATGGTATTGTCAATGTGGCCAGACATCTCTAACCTATCTATATCACAATCAGAATTGATTAATGTCCTGAGATGAACCCACATTTCAAGTTCCCTTGGAAGATGAAAGCACAAGAAACATTTGAAGTTATAACCAATGATGTGACTTCCATAATGAGCAAAAAACGGAAGACTGCATCTCAATGAAGATGGAACTCAATAACCTACTAATGAAAGGACATCTCCGATAAAGCCAAGAATCTCCTTAACAATACGAAGGATAACAACAAACTGACGATAACTACTCATGCCTCGCCACCTCTTCATGATAGGCTAATCAAAGCAGCATCACAGATGCAACTGCCAAGAAAATCACCTGAAATGCCAAGAAACTGGGAACGCGAAACACATGATCCTGGGAACCGACAAAATCAGCTTCAGAGCATAAGAAAGTCATGCTCCCTACCATGAAGCCCTAGTCCTATCTCTCACGGTGGCGAATTTATTGGTGAACATGATACTAGTGGACAACCTAAGCTCCACCAATATCATTTTGTTGGACGCCTATACCACATACAATTAGAAAAAAGAATGACCTAACCCAGAAAGCCATGTCACTTGTAGGATTCAACGGCAAGGTTAACAAAAATATGAGAGGTTTATACTTCATGTTTACGCATAAGAGTAAATTAGTCTACAAAATTCCAAAAAAACTATCTACAAAATTCATGGTAATTGACTGCGCCTCCTACAACATGGTAATGTGATGCCCCTGGATCCATGAAATAGGAGTCATGCCCTCCACTCTCCACTAAATAGTCAAATTTCCTTTCCTAAGACATTAAGAAAATAAAAGGATATATCAAGAAAATTCTCCCTCGTGCAAGAGGATAACCCTAAAAGGTAAAATTGTAGCCTTATAACAGTTACAACAAAAACATCATGCTCCACACATACAAAGGAGCCAGAGGATAAAGAACTCGACGAGGTTCCTTTGATTGAGTGGGTATTCGCAGGACTCTCAAAGCAGATTCCAAACTACCAACAGATCTAAGGCATAATTGATTCTCTCAGTCTAACTCTGATTGTTTCACATGGTCCCATGTGGATATGCCCAACATAGATACAAAGGTAATTGTGCACAAGTTGCAAGTCGACCTCTATAAAATTAGTAAGACAAAAAAGAATAAAATTTTCTCTATGACAGGATGTCATTATCAACAAAAATCCGGAATTTACTAGATGTTAGGTTCGTAAAATATGTGCAATACCTGGAATGGCTGGCCAACATTGTATTGGTACGCAAGAAGAACGACAAATGACGAGTCTTCATAGACTTCACCAACCTCAACAAATCCTGCGCAAAGGATCCTTGTCCCCTATCCCATATCAACAAGCTAGTCGATGTCACGACGGAACACCAACGAATGAGCTTCATGGATGCCTTCTTCAGATATATTTAATTACTTATGCATCTAGATGAACAAGAGAAAACTTTATTCATAATTTTTAAAGGCATCTATTGTTACAAGGTGATGCTTTTGGCTTGAAGAATACAGTTCCACCTACCAAAAACTGGTAAATGTGATCTTAGCATAATAGATAGATCAGACTATGTAAATTTACATAGATGATATGCTCATCAAATCACTGGAAATAGAAGATCACATCGTATAAACTCAAGAATTTGGAGCTTGAGTTTTGGTTTGTGTACATGTGTTACAAATGGAGAGTAATGTGTTACACACACTTCGGAGAATAAAAAGAAAACATCAAGATGCGATGATGTGGAATATCTCTATAATATTATTTGAGAAGTCAGTTTCTTATGTGTCGTGCTTATGTTAACTCTTACGATGGTCAATTACACTGATATCCTTAAAGAATTAAAAAATATTACATTTAAATACTATTATTGATTTGTTTTAGTTTTCTTTTTGCAAATTTTGCAAATAACATATATAATAAAAAGGAAACAATTATAAAGTTTTAAAACAAATTAAAAAGGAAAATATATCTACATATAATATGATTTCATTAAGAAAGAAAAGTTCATAAAATAGAAATATTTCATTTAAAAATATTTAAATAACATAAATTATAATTTGAAGTAATAAAATATGTCTATATAGCTATATTTTGTTAGATGAAATATATATATATATATATATATATATATATATATATATATCTATATTTGTATATAATATGATTTCATATAAAAATTCACACATATAATCGTGATATTATAAAAATAATTATTATTTCTATTAAAAAATTATTTTAAACAAAACAAGATTATCTATGTTTAATAATTATATTTTAAACACATATCTTAAGTTATACATAATATATTATATTAACATATCTAAGACATCAAATGAAAATAAAAAATTAATCATAATTTTGATATATTTTAAATAAAAAGTATTAGTTGAATACAGAGATATAGACACAATCCAATATATCTAAATGATAACTAAAGCGACTGTAAAAACAACAAAACGACTAAATTTAATATAATATTATATGTCTAATTAAAGTAATAAAATATTAAAATAATACAATATTATTAATATAAATTATGCATACAAATTATAAATTAAAAATAAATTAAAAATAAATAACAATAATTATTATAATATATTTTCTTTATAAATATTTTATATGCCTATGAGCATAGGAAAATCACCTAGTTTCCATATGTTTGGTTGATGAAATTAGAAGATTTATGATGCTAAAATATAGGAAAATAATATATTAGATAATAAGAAAAGATCATTTAATATATCTTGGCTTTTACCTAATTGGAGATTAGGGCTTTTGACTTTGTAATTCTCAGAGAGAAACACAAAGAGTTTTGGGGTTTTAAAGCTGAATGAATTGGTAGACTTGATTAATAGGTGTTGAGTCAAGCAAGTTGGGTATGTTAGGAATCGATCCGTGACGAGTCGTGTAATTTGGATCAAGTAAGTCTATAAGAGATTGTGTAAAAAAAATTCAAATAAGAAATAAGTATTTTTAGAATTACTTAGTTCTTTATGTTTTTTTGCTATATCTCGATTCTACACATAATACATCTACAATAAGTATTTTCCATGTTGAGGAAATACAACGTGAAGCTCAACCCATCCAAGTGCCTATTTGGGATAGTCTGGGAAAACTTTGAGGTATATCATGCACCGTAGTATCCTGACTAATCTGAAACAAATATGATCAATCCATACGATTCAATCGCTTAAAAACCTGAAAGAAGTACAAAAACTGAAAAGTAAGTTGGCAGCCCTAAACAAGTCTATCTCGCAAATATAATTGGATATCAGTGTACATATGGATATCAGACACAAACACAATATAATTAAGGAAAGTAAACAAAAGTTGAAATAGCAACTGCAAAGTACATCTATGATATTATCTGTACGTATAAACATGATAAAATTCTCTAGACAAATGACGTTGGTGCGGAAACGTTGTCACTTGTCATTGATACCCAAGTGACAAGTGACGTTGGTCGGGAGACGTTGTTATTGATACCCAAATGCTTTAGTTATTTATGTGCGGCTTATTGATAAAGTTTATACAGTTCACAAGAGAACAAGATTATCAATATTCTTAAGAATGTTCTTGAAAATATTGTACAAAGTCCCCAATAAACTATAGTGGTTTCACAAGAATGGCTCTACGTAATGTTATTAACGAGCTTTCTATTGGCTGGAGATCCTTTCTCATTTGCTGGTTTTCTCTACCTGAAAATAATAGTTATCTCACACAGCTTGCAAGTATAAGGACTAAGGTAATATATGACATGTGTCACAGACCGTTGTTGGTGCATATGATTAACTCATGATCGCATGTAAAGTACACGTGTAGTCTCAAGATATTTCGATGGCCTCGAAGTTTTCTATATGAGGAAACTCAAATCTTGTTTGTATTTTTTTTTTGAAACACGATCTCTTTTTTTGGTAAAATTTGAAAAGAGAGACGGGAAACAGCTGTGCCGCCCCTTAGCATAAGCTACATAACTGGATGACACATGAACTGTTTTAGAAAAGAAATTCCATTATATTTTATAAAAAAAAAAAAAGATTCCATACGCATGCCCCTAGCTAGCATACGCTACATTACTGGCTGTCACATGAACTGTTTAAGAAAAAAAAATGTTTTATAAAAAATGGTTCTGTTATGCATGTCTTTTGTTTTTTTTTTTCTTGTTGTAGATGTATTATGTGATCTTAAAGAAAAGTTGTTTAGACCGGTAGTGAAAGAGAGAAGGGTGATGAAAGAGGTGTTGAGTATTTAATCCTGGAATTGAAGTGACCTTTCACAATTTGTCAGCCTTTCTATGTGTGGGAAACGCATTGTGCTTGTGGGTCGTCGCCAACATTAAAATTTCCAAATACGGTAAGTTTAAACAATAATATTAGTTGTTTTAGGATTTATTCTTTGCAGTACATCCACACATCTAACAGAGAATATATTGCTTTTCTTCATACTTCAAATTTGTAACCTTTTTAATTTTCTTATTACCCTTATTGCGAAAGGACGTTTAGATTTAGAAACAGAATAATGGCACTTGAAGTTTCTGTCTTTCTTTAATCTTTCATACGGAGAAACACTGAACAAAAAAAGATGTGATTTATGGGTGGACACTGACACTTGGAATAAACAAGGTTCTTTTCTTATACATATTTCCAAAAATTTCCAAAAATTAGTTCTAAACATAACTTAGCCAAGAACCAAATCAATATGTGTCATCGTCCTCAAAACAGAAAAGTGATAGTAACATCTTTTGCAATGACAACTTTTTTTTGATAAATCAGTATTTTTTTTTTTTGCGAAAAAAATCTCTTATATATTAATTGAAAAGTTAAATAATTAACCTTTTTACATGTTATTCATAGAAGATTCCTCTTTGATATACCAAATAGTTTTTTTTAATTAACTAGAGACTATCCAAGACTTATGGAGAAACCTAGACTAATCTACAAGAAGAAGTACAGTCCACAGATAGATTCTCTTTTTGGATATTTAAATGGGTTAGATAGCATAAGTTCATATCCGTGTTAGGTGACCAGAAATAACTGTGACTTAGTTTCGCATAGCAGATGGATCAAAGCTGAAATATGTTAAGATCACAGTCTCTCCTTCTTATCACTTGACCACAATCACCCGGTCATATATACCAAATTGTTAAAAATCCAAAAGGAGAAAAATCAAATTCCAACGAAAATTTCATGATCCCCGCTTTTTGTAACATATAGAAACTAGAGGATTTGATAAAAGTACCTAAAATTTGATTTCAGTACAAAACTTAACATCTTATTCATTCAAATGCAAAAAGTAACTTAAAATATAATAAAATTACAATGATCCTCTTTTACCAAACAAAAGCATGAATCTAATTTTACGAGTTTAATCTTGCAAAATTTGCAACTAAAACAATTCTACTTAGTAAGTAGACGTCATAGAGTCTACTCCACAAACTGATCTTGTAATTAAAGTTTAAAATTATAAAATTATTTAATTAAAAATTAGTTTACAAAATTTAAATATGCATATTTCTACAGTATAATTTTAACTAAGTAGATAAGTTAACTAGTAAGTGAAATTGAGTTTTTGAATTAGGAGATATAATTTGAAATCTATTAGTATACATTGTTGTTTTAGGTTTAGTAAAGTCTATTAAACCATAAATTTTACTTTAATTAAGATTTTTGTCACTCTATATAAAAAAAAAATTTACACTTTTTTCCTGAAATGGTTACACGATTTTTAAAATTTTGTTTCTTCTCTTTAAACTCTCTCACTTCTCTCCGATCTTTTTTAATTTGAAAACAAAAATTAATTTAGTTTAAATTTATTTGTCTCATGTCATTGTCACAATATTAATTTTCTTTTGTAAATATTCTAATATATGATTTTCATCTCCCTCTTTCATAAATATAAGATTTAGATCTATAAATTTAAAATATTTATTTTTGTTTATATTCAAATGAAGTTTTAGATTCAAACACTATGTGTTTGTTGTGATACTTATTTTGCTTCAAAATTCTATTGAATTTTATTCAGAATTTTAATTATTTCTCTCATTTTCTATATATATATATATATATATTCAGATGAGAAATATCTGATACATTAGGCTTTGGATGAATTTGCTTTCTTAAATATTAAGGTCTAGTAAACTTCAAATGAAATCTATTAAACTATTTTATGTAAAATGTTTAAATTAAGTGAGTTTAGTTATTTCACTTAAAAATATATATAGCCTTCACTTCCAAAAGTTGTAATTTCTAAATATAATTTTGAAAATGTTTTCTTAGCAGATACTCCAACGGATATTTCGATAATGTATGATAATTATTTCTTAAAATAAATATAAAATATAATTTAGTTTTCTCATATCTATTTTATTAAAACAGAAGTACCCATAGAAAATACTCCTTTATTTTTCAACTTATTTACAAAAAAAATGTCACTGAAGTTATTAATTAACCTATCTTTTAGGATTCTCTATCTTTTTATATTTAATTAATATATTTTCAAATTTAAACTGTCACTAAAAATTATGAAAATAATAATCAATAAACCTACATTTTAGTATTCTTTGTTTTTTTTTCTATATATGTGTGTTTGGAAATAAATAAGTAATTAATAAACCTAGCTATAGATAGTTACTCAACATATTATTTTGAAAAATATTTGTTCTTATGTATTAGTAATAAATAATATAAAAATCAGTGATATGAAATATAGATCAATATAAATATATATGATTAAATGTTGAAAAGTATAAAATATATCGCACCATATATTTTAAATAATATACAAAATAATTTTATTATACATTATCATAAAATTTTAGTTCCTATAAATATAACAAATGTATTTTACAAATATACGGATTTTATTCTAAAAATAGTAATAATACAATTGATGGCTTATAAGATAAAATAAAATAACTTCTAACAAATATTAAATTATTGTGTTTAGAAATATCATACTAACGAGTAAATTTTAAAATGTATATTATCAATTATACAAATAAATATGTATTTATAAAAAAAAGTAAAAATAAACTCTGTGGGTATACTGCTCTGATTTTTAGTTTTTTTATATGACATAAATAAATTTTTAACAGCCACCGAAAATAATTCAATGTAATACGACTAATTAATTTTAGAAAATGCATCATAAAACCAAAAAAAAATTAAAAAAAAAATATACATACGGTCGTGCGGTTCAAAGTATAGTTACTAATTAAAACTCCAACCAAAAAAATAAGACCTAATTTTAAAATTCGGATAAAAAAAGGAAAAGAAAAAGCTAAATTCCCAATGCCACCACTTGATACACATTCGACTTCTGTTTAAATAATGGCTAGAGAAGAACATCGCCATATTGCATTCTCTCTTTTTTCGAGTGTAGATATTCTTTCACAATATAAGCAACTGAAAGTAGAATGTAATAACTTGGCTACTAGTTTTATTTTAGTTTTCACTCAGAAATATTTTCCATGAATTATCTTACTACAAGAATAATTAATATCTTAGATTTATAATTACAAATTTAGGTACAACATTACTGATTTGCCATCGCGCAATCCATTATGTTATTTTGGAGATTATTTTTTCATGTGAATACCTGCCTCCTTACAAAAATTCTAAGATTAATTTTTATTTGGGCCAAATCAAAAACTAGTTCTTTAAAAAAAGAAAAAAAAAACTAGTTTAACAGCTTGAAATGTCTGCAAATTTACTCACATTTTTAGTGGATGCCATCTATGTGGACTTTAAAAAATGTTGTTGTTTTCGTAAAAGGCCAACTCATACATTTTTAGTGGATGACGTCTTGTGTGTATGTGTTGGTGTGGGGATCTCGAAGACGTCAAATCAAATTCACAATCGAACTAATTCTCTTAAATCCTATAAGTACATGTTTTCTGACTTTATGTCTTCATTAAATCAACATTAACATATCCGATCCCCCGAAGCAAGCTCAAACCTGTCTATCCCTACACCAGTAAATATATATGGCCCGGATTTCATCAGACCCGCTTATGGTTGGAAGAGTGATCGGAGACGTTGTGGACAGTTGTTTGCAGGCAGTAAAAATGACAGTAACTTATAACTGCGACAAGCAAGTCTACAACGGCCATGAACTTTTCCCTTCTGTAGTTACAAACAAACCTAAGGTTGAAGTTCATGGTGGTGACATGCGGTCATTCTTCACTTTGGTACGCATAGTTTCATCACACATACTATATGTAGCTTTAGCTGATTTTATCTTCTTTTTTTTGAAATGAGCTTTAGCTGATTTAGTTTCTTAATTTAAACAAAAATCAGTTATTAATCGATCCTGAGTTTAGTTTTATGAGGAAGAATTTTATGGTAGAGTAGTTACTTTGGATATATTCTACGGTGATGGTTCATTGAAAACTATTTCAAATTCCTCTTATATATTTTAGTTTTTCTGGTAGTCTTTAGTTTGTATCAATGTTAAGAAAAAAACGTTAAACGCTAGCAGCGGCATGTTCTTTGTTGCAAATGCATGTGTGTTGTGTGTTTATTTTTGTATATGAGTATAGGATGTGTCACGTGTAAATGTATTCATGAATATCGAATATTTGAAACAGGTCATGACTGATCCTGATGTTCCTGGACCTAGTGATCCTTATCTGAGGGAGCATTTGCACTGGTAAAAATTAATTCCCAATTTAATTTTTGTTAAGAGACATGTGATTTATCATATAAGCATAAAATATATGACATTTTTTTTTTTGCAATCATCATTCTCAGGATTGTTACCGATATCCCAGGGACAACCGACGTGACATTTGGTAAGTCATATCCCCGATAAATCAAACATATGACATAACATAGTGTTCTATATGTGGACTAGTTATAATCCACGTTTTTACTAATAGTTTAAATCCAAATTTTCATATACATGTCAATTTAATTTTGTCTAAAAATAACTACATATATAAGCTGGTATACATTTAGAAACTGAAAATGTGAGTTATAGACGACAAAAAGAAAAAAAAAATAGCTTCATATACATGTCAACTGATTTTCGTCTAAAATACAAAACAGGAAATGAAATAATAGGGTACGAGATGCCTCGGCCAAACATTGGGATCCACCGATTTGTGTATTTGCTTTTCAAGCAGAACCGTAGAGGAAGTGTGGTTTCTGTGCCGTCTTACAGAGACCAATTCAACACTCGAGTGTTTGCACATGAGAATGATCTCGGTCTCCCCGTTGCAGCAGTTTTCTTCAACTGCCAGCGTGAGACCGCCGCTAGACGCCGTTGATTGACTTCCGCCACCAACCTAAGTAGCTTTCTCCGTTCCCGGTCAATATCGGTTGTTCCATCCATTCTACATTTTAATAACGGGCAGCAGCGAGTCATGTTTATATATGTGTGTATGTATTGTACTGCTTGTGATTTGAATAAACTTGGCTTCTCTTGTTATAGTCTATTTCATATTTTGGTGGATAATTTTGGTCTTTTGATGTAAAATATACATAAACATAATTGATATTTCGTATTATAGACCTACCCAATTTACTAATATATAATATTTATTAATTTATATATATATGTAAAAAGTGAATACAATTGTCATTGATCTGAAACCTGATTAGGTTACTTTGATTTTTTTGAACTAGTTTGAAAACAAAAATATGTTTGGAGCTATTTGAAGCTATTTATGAAAAAAAAAATGATATCAATAGCATATTAGATAAATAGTTAATGTTAGTTAACTTTCAAAACAATTAAGAATTGCAGTAGGGAGATGTCAAAACAAAAATGTAGTAAGGCGTATAATTCAATACATCAAATTTATTATAAATGAATAATTTTAAAAGTATCATAATTTATTAATTTATCAAATAATTAATTAATAATTATTTTTAATATTTACGATACAAATTCTATAAATTAATATTTAATAAATTAATTGATTTCACCGGTCTCGAATTAGACCAGTGTAAATTATCACACAATTTAATAAAATAATAGTTTTAAAAAAAACATTTATGTAAATATATGGTCCTAATATAAATATAAATTAATAAGAAATATTTATAAATTTTATATAACTATAATTAATATATTTCCAAATTTACTTTTTAATCATAGTGAAATTTATCTTTATTAATTATTAATATTTCAAAATATATTGATATTACTTTGTCATTTTACACTTAAAATGAATTTACATTTATGGTATACACCAAGTAATCGAAGAAAAATAACACAAAATTTGTATCAATAAAATTAACCAAGAAGTATACTGTAAAATCAAGTATTTTCAAATTTATACATAAAATGTTTTAAAATATTTAAATATAACTCTATAAATTAATAAAATATCAAAGTCTCAATATTAATTATTAGTTTATAGATTTTTACTGTATATTTTATAATTTGTTTTCAGAATATAAAATATATTATTTGATGATTATATATTGATGAAGCTTTGTAGATTTTAATTGTATTTTTATTAAATTATTTGATATATTTTATGTATGTTAAATGCATATTTTTAAAAAATACAAATGCGCTTTTATATCTCATTATCTTATCATCTTATCAATTTATTATGTCTTAATGTATAGGATTTCTATTGTGATAACAAAAGTGTCTCAAAAATGTTTGATAGTAAAGAAATAGGAAAGATGAAAATTGTCTTCCTAGAAAAATCATTCTCTCTTTTCTGGGGGAATAGAGTTGGAAAATATATCTAGGATTAAAACGTTAAGTGTTCTTCACGCCATTCATCAAAACGTTCAGCCAATTCTCCACATCCAACAAAAACGCGTTTCATTGTTATTCAAGTCAACGCTCTGTTGTTTTTGTAGACCTTTTTGTCAAATCAGCCAATTTCTTCATCGCTTCTTTATCTCCTTTATCTCCCAATCCTCCACGATCCTTGATCATACCGATTCATTCCCTTTCCCTTCAATCAAACAGAAGATATTCGTAAAACCCTAAAGTTATGTACAGCAATTTTAAGGAGCAAGCGATCGAGTACGTGAAGCAAGCGGTCCAAGAAGACAATGCCGGAAACTACTACAAAGCATTCCCTCTCTACATGAATGCCCTCGAGTACTTCAAAACCCATCTCATGTACGAGAAGAACCCCAATATCCGAGAAGCCATCATCCAGAAATTCACCGAGTATCTTTGCCGTGCCGAGGAGATCCGCGCCGTTCTCGACGAAGGCGGACCCGGTCCTGGATCCAACGGTGACGCGGCGGTCGCGACGAACCTGAAGAGTAAGCCCAAAGACGGAGGAGGAGACGGTGAGGACGAACCTGAAGGTGCTATGTGTGTTGTTGGTGTTATGTGTTGTTGGTGAGGTTACATTTTTTTATAAAGGTTATATTTGGACTCGTTTATTTATCTACTAAGTGTTTTGCGGGAATATTTTACGAATACTTATTAGTTTATATTTTATTAATTTAAAACAATTTAATAAGTGATAATTTATGTTTTAAAAATTAATTATAAATGATAACCTTTACACAGCAGAATTTTAAAAATATATTCATACAAATGTTTTGCTTGATTTATATTAATTATAATTTTTTATATCTTCATTTTTTGTTTCTATAATAGATAAACATTTTCAAAATAACAATATAATACATCAGAAAATACTCCATTTGTTTTTTTTAATATATGATGTTTTAGGTTAATGCACATAAATTAAGAAATTTACATACTTTTAAAGATATAATTTATAATCATTCAACTAATTATAAAAAGACTGTAAAATTTTATTGGTTGAACAGTTTCCAATAAAGTTAAAGTTAACCTTAAAATCTCAAAACATATTATATTTTGAAACAAACCTTAAAACCTTAAAACAAACCTTAAAATCTAAACATCATATAATTTGAAACAGAAGAAGTATCTTATTTTCTAAAAAGATAATATTCTTAATAGAAATTTTCTTTTATTATATATGAAATTATTAAAAATATGACAAATAAGCAAAATTACTTAAATCATGGAGAAGTTATATATCAGAAAATTCACTTAAATTTTATAATAAAAACTGTATTTTTAGGAAAACAATCTAATACATAAGGATTTTCTTATTTTCTAAAAATATAATATTATTAATATAATATCATTTTTATTATATAATAAATTATATATGAAATTGTTAAAAGATGATAAATAAGAAACATACATAAAATCATAGAGAAGTTGACAAATCAGCATTGCTTAATTTATATTTAATTATAATTTTTTGTATATTAATTTTTAATTTCTATAATAGAAAACTATATTTTCAAGATAACAATATAATATGTAAAAATTATCATATTTTTAGAAAAATATAATATTATTAATAGAAATTCTTTTTATTATATAATAAATTATATATAAATTTATTTAAAACATGGAAAATAAACAAAACTATCTAAATCATTAAGAAGATACAAATAAATCAGCAAATTCACTTAAATTTTATAATAGAAAAATATATTTTTAAGATAATAATCTAAGAGCACCTCCAACGGGAGTCCTTAGGGAGAAATCCTTAGGAAAAAAATAATTAAATAATCAGTAGACCCCACAAAAAGTTAAGGATTCGATCCTTAAAATCCCTAAATAATTAAGGATTGTTTCTTAGCGAATCCTTACACTATTTACGGTTTCTCAGGACATGTGGCAGTCCATAAATGGTCATCTTTTTTTTTCTTTTTTTTTTAAAAAGTTTTTTTCTTTTTTAAAAAAATATGAAATATCCTTATCAAATCTGAAATACCCTTTTTCTTAAGGATTCCAACGGGTAACACCGTTGGAGATGCTCTAATACATAAGAACTAACTTATTTTATAAAAAAAATAATATCATTAATATAAATTCTTTTTTTGTTATATAATAAATTGTATATAAAATTATTAAAACATGATAAATAAACAAAATTATTTATAATTATGAAGAATTGACAACTAAACAAATTTATTCAGAGAAGTTACAAACCAATCAGAAAATTTATTTAAATGTTATGATAGAAAAATATATTTTAAGATAACAATCTAGTACATATAATTAACTTATTTTGTTAAAAATAAGATTATTGTTATAAATTCGTTTTTATTATTATTTTATTTACTAAATTTATAATATTATTACTATAAATTCATTGTAATTATATAATAAATTATATATTAAATTATTAAAATATGATAAATAAGCAAAATTATCTAAAATTATGGAGAAAATGATAAATAAGCCTTGTTTTCAAATAATAGTATCTTAAATTTTATAATAGAAAATATATTTGCAATGTAACAACATAATACATAAGAACTATCTTATTTTCTAAAATATAATATTATAAGTATAATATCATTTTAATTATATAATAAATGGTATATAAAATTATTAAAAACATTAAAATAAGTAAAATTATCTAAAACTATGGAGAAGTTGACAAATAATTTTTTTTTTATTACACTCACATATGCATATCAAAAACTTTTTTATACAAATATGTTTGCTTGATTTATATCTAATTATAACTTATTATATCTTAATTTTAGAATTTATATTATAAAATATATTTTTAAGATAACAACATAAATAATAAGAATTATCTTATCTTCTTAAAATATAATATTATTAATATAAATTAGTTTCAATTATATAATAAATTTTTATATCACTATTATAACATGAAAAATAAAAATATTACTTTTATATATTTTCAAGATAATTACAAATATGTAATAATTATCTTATTTTGCTAAATATATAATAATGTTAATATAAATTCGTTTTAATTTTATAATAAATTATTTATAAAATTTTAAAAACTTACAAATAAACAAAAACCTAAAATCATGGAGAAGTTGACAACTAAGCAAATTTACTTCTTAAATAATAGTATAGATTGGGTGAGTTTATTTTAAAATGTGTCTTTGTGTTCGTGTGGAATACTTTTTTGTAATGGTTATTTAAAGGTTTATACTTTATGTTTATGTTTATATATAGCAGGAGGTTGTAATATGTTGGCGAAGTGTTTTTCATTGTTGGCTGGAAAAAATATCAGGGTACGTGTTATAGATAATTTGTGAGACTATTATTTAAAATGGTATGGGTCAAAACAAATCATTATAGATAAAGATGCATAAGTTTATCGAAAAAATATTACAATGCACTAAAACTTAAAGATGTACTCTAGGTTCACTCATATTTTTGAATCTCTTTATCACTGTCTCATTTGTCACAGTTTCAAGCACTTGTTTCTCAATAAAACAAACTAGACAATCACTTAAAAATTCATCACAGATACTGTTACGTGAAGTGTCTTCACAATTTTCATTGCAGAGAAGCACATTTCCACACTTGTAGTCGCAACCGGAAGAATCAAGCATAGCTTCAAAAGACGATGAACCAAAGGATAAAAAGATGTTTTCTTGTATCCACCAATACACGAGCAAGATCACCAAGGATTTCTAGATTGGTAAACCTTTCATCTCTTTGCACATTGTCAAGGTAGATGTCAAGTTGTTGTTC